GATACTTTCTGGCATTTAGAAATGGTGCCCTAACATTACATGTTATTACTTCCAATAAAATATCAAAAACTTCAAAATGTAAACATTTAATAATATTTACTTCATAACTACATTTTTGTTAAGTTATTGTCTGTGAAATTTTGGTTTCTGTTATTTCATAACTGTCTTTGTGACATAACTAAAATATGGCGAACACTGCTGCTGATTGTCATCCAACTGAAAGGCAGAGTCATGACTACATTGTTGTACATCCCCATCCGCCTAACTCATAGGGTCTGGCCCAGTGGAAATTCTGCATCTGCCCCAAAGTCAAAATGACCATGAAAAGAAAATACATTGAATCAACTGGGGACATGAAGGCAGCCGTAACAGCACAACTAAAGACACTCACAAAAGAGGATTTTCAGTATTGCTTCAGAAAGTGACAAGAATAATAATATAAATGTGTTCAAAGAGAAGGGAGTATTTTGAACACATTTAATGGCAATGTGATTTTGACTTCAATAGACATTTTAAATTTAAACTTGTAACTTAGTTTTTAATCATACCTTGTACAAGGATGAATCTAACAATGTAAATTTACTGAAATGGGAAAAGTTTTTCTCCCAAGACATTTTACTAAATGGCATCAAAATGTCATATTATTAATAATGATTCTATCTCAGGTGGATTTGTTTCCATTCTTACATTCACACATGTAAATCACAAAGACAGAATCCATTATCTGCTTAATCCTTACTATTGAATCAGCTTATGCTATTGAATGGAATGCTATTGAATCAACCTTAAATCAGCTCAGATGACAATGCTGGAACAGAGATACTTCCATGCTTGGTATTGAAAAATTAATAAGTGGAACTAACAGCAGGCATAATTAAATTGTAAGTTCACTAATCTTTTTTCATATTTTCCAAACCATTAGAAAATTTTTAGCAGAAATCCAGAGATCTTACCTACAGATATAACCATTTCCAATTTCCTGAGTAGGAAAGAAATCAAGATTTGAATTTAAGCCTCTTTTTGAGTTTAAATGGGTTGTCTTTGTTACTTTTCTCTCCTTTGAGATAAAATATCTGATGCCCAAAATTAAGGAAGGAAAGGTTTATTTAGCTTACAGTTTGTGGAGGTTTCAGTCCATACTTGATTGGCTCCAAGGCAGAGTGGCACATAGCAGAGGGCAACAGATCGTGGCGGGGGAACAGCAAAGCAACCAGAGCAAAAGGGAGGAGTGGTAGAGAGCAAACCTCTTTCCCTCTTTTATACTGTAAGCAGGCTTCCTCTACCCAGGGTCTGCGTAGCGCTCACATAATCTCCATGCCCTCCTCTTGCACAGGCTCAGGATGTGTACAAAGTAAGCACCCTGGCTCCCTGCTGAGTCACATAGTCAACCGTCTAAACTTCTCATATTGACAGAGTAAACATCATCCCAGAAGGGTAAGGGCATGTACTTTCTTATACCCCAAGATGCAGAACTGCTGAGTCACTCAGCCAAACCTCTAGACTCCCCAAGTTGACACAATGTATCAACCATAACATGGGTTAATTACAGTGCTACAGAAAGATGTGAACAGCTGCAAAGATATCCAGGATAGGGAAAGATAATTATCTATTTTAAATTGTCTTGTGCCTATTGTGTCTTTGACCATCACTTGTGCTTGCAGCCATTATTCCTGATTGGCTATGCACTGCTCTACTCTGTTTTTTTACCAGAAACCCCTCCCAGTGGGTGTGCATTCAACTAGGGATTTCTTCTGGCCATGACAGAGAAGTGAAGTGGGTGGTTAAGTTGTCAAAGGAACATTCTGCAAGGATTTGGCTGCTCAGGTGTCTTGTGTCTGCAATCGGACACATTGACTCAAAAATGGCTTCAGTGATTCAAGGTAAACATCTAGAACACATTACATTAAAATACTGTGTTCCTCCCTTTTCTATGAAATAAAATAGTGAGGCAGTCATAGTTGCAAATGGAGTCAAGCACTATACACAGAAAACTATCTCAGCACTGTGCAGTCAGGAATGTCTCATTAGTAGTTTACGATGTTGTGATTGCTATGATCTCATCCTCTACCTCTGTATGGCTTTCAGAATCCTTTTGCAGAGCTCAGGAAACAGTGTAGAGGAATACTGCTTCACGTGAGATGTCTCCATGAAGTTAAATCAGTATGGGGATAAAAGCAAAAATTTGCATGATATTCTATGATCTCTACAACCACCTCCCATCCCATACCTCACAGTACTCTTTGCTGAATATTATCACATTGTCTTTCACCAATTTAGCTTGCTGAACTGTCATGTTTGCTCTGATAGGGAGAAATTATGTTTCTGTAGGGCCTTTAGACATCATTAGCTACCTTAGAATTTCCTTGGTTATGCTGCCTTGATGCTGGCACATGACCAGGGACTGTGGATCCAACACCCCTACCATGAATGGTGCCTGATAGAGGCTCAGTTTCCACACTTGGTATTGACATGAATGGAGTTTGTGATAGGAGCTTCTTGATACAGATGACCTAGGAGGAGAAGACATCATTTTGGGGCCCCCTGGACTGGAGTGATGGAGCTGAATGGCTGGAGGCACAAGTTGATGATGGGCATTTATATGACCTTGGAGACTCAATGCCCAGAACTTTTAATTAGCTACATTAGTCAAGGTTATGCCCATCTCTATGGACTTTATAATATAATTGGAAGTAGAAGAAGAATGAAATGAAATTGAATGATATGAAATTAGATGAACCAAGTTATACAAAACATAGCTCAGAACCAAGAATCTTGGAATCACCCAGATATAGTTTATAACATTGTGCTTCCCTATCTCCTTCTCTTTTTTTGTCCCCTTCATAATCCCTTTTTAATGGGAAGGGACAGTGCAGAGGGGCTCAGTATAAGCTTTTGTGGGTGAGATTGTTGCAGGAAAAAATCCAGGCTCAAACAGATAATACTCTACACTGAGGAGTTTTTGGAAGGTGATTTATTACACTAGCAGTTGCTGGGAATGAGTTGAAAATCACCAGCTCAGAATCAGGTTTGAGCTCAGTTTAAATACAGTTTGAAAGCAGGAAGTACAAAGCTGAAATCTGGACATTACATGATTATTTATATGAATTACAAGAATTATGTAAAATATTGTCAGACATTTGTTGCAAGCAGGTTTACTTAAAAGTAATTGTTAATCAGTAGACAAGAACATGCTGGGAGGGAGGGAGCAGGGAGAGTTAAAAGTGTCCTTGACTTGGCAAGTGCATTCTGAGCGTGAAGTATAGAGTTCTTGAATCCAGGTGGAACAAAACTACATATATACACATTTTAAGTTGAAAAACACAGATACTGCAGCTGGATGCAGTCAGGTTGACCTGACCTGCTATGTGGAACAACCAGCTGGATGCAGACAATCAAGGCTAACTCAACCTAGGAGCCTAACTATGTGACAGATAACATGAGCATAATCACAGTCCACTGATTTTTAACTTCTACTATAAAATGTCTATAAGTTTGCTCTTCTATGAATTTGCCCTCACAAGATGTCCATAAAGCACAAGTGTAAGAGTAAAGCAAAAGTGAATGAGGTATCCAAAACCTTCACCACAACACAGAACATAAATTTCACACTCTGCATAGCTGAAAGTTTTCCTGTTAGTATTCCTTCTTCAGGATCCCAAACCCATTTATTCTTTTAAGGGTTTAAGAGCTCATACTTAACACTGTACAAATGCCATGCAAGTTACATAGAATACGTAATTCAGATGCTGTTACTTAGGAATCCCTCAATCTTGGTGCATGATGTTATGGTTATTTTTATCCTCATCATTATTATGATTTTGAGTCACTGAGGAAACAGTTCACAGATATCCATAATCTGCTCTCATGGATTAGTGCCTATGGGAAGCAGGAACAGTGTGAGATGAAAGGGAAACTTTGAGTGAGATTTTTGGTCTTTCATGACAACCAAAGATACAAACTTCACAGTCTTCATAGCGGAAATTGTGCACAACACAATTCCATGCCACTATGCAAACTTTCATGTGTCTTTTCATAGTGTGTAACAATTGCTCCAATAATTCTTCTCCAGCCTTCTTCCCTTTCAGCACTTACTGCATTAGGTTTTGTCTCTACTGGGTTACATCAAAAGCTCAGATCCCGATTCCTCACTTGCCTGAGAACCAGTGAAGGTTCTAGAACAACCCAAAGAAACAACCACGTCAGATATGGGCTTCTGATTTCAGACACTCAGGAAAGACGAGACAGTCCTGATGAAAACCAGGCTGAAAAAATCCAAATGACAGCCTGGTGGAAGAGGCTGATTGTGAGCTATTTATTATAGGACCTTGGAAACTCAGTGCACACAGCTTGTAATTACGCAAGTTGGTCCGTGTCATTTCAGCCCTCAGGAATTCTGAAACGTAGTGGAAGATGGGGAAAAGAGAGAGAAAAGTAATGTCCACAAAGGTTTTGGATCGTCCTAATCTCAGGGGAAATTTCAAGGTTGCTATTAGCTTTATTAATTTTTCTTTTCAACGCAACTTCTCAGCATTGTTTTCTTTTTTCTTTTTTTTTTTTTTTTTTTTTTTTTTTTTTTGGTACCAGGAATCACACTCAGGAGGTCACTCTTGCCAGGCAAGTGCTGTGCCACAGAGCTATATCCCCAGGTCCTCAGCTTTTTATTTCCCTTATTCATTGTGTCAAGTCATGTATAACTAAGTGGACCAGTTAATCACTTTTAATTAAGGTTTAGAAACATAAATTACAATGTCATTTTGTGCAACCCTCAATCATAGCAGGCTCCGGAAATTTTTCCCATTCTTAAGTGAAATTTGCACTCATGTGCAAAACCCAAAATTCCACATCTACCCAAACACCCATGTTTCTATTATGAAATGTAATGTAAAATTGAGGGCATCAAACATCTGAAACAACATAACCAATGAGGTGGTGATTTTTGTGTGTTCAGGTTTACTACATTTCTCAATCTCCATTCCAAATAGATAATAAAGTTCCTGGAATTAGACTGTCCCACAATGGAGCCTCTTCAGAAAGCTACTGAAGTCCTTATTCCTCAGGCTGTAGATGAAGGGATTCAGCATAGGTGTGACCACAGTATACATCAGGGAGGCCACCATGCCCTTACTGGGAGAATATGACACAGCTGAACTAAGGTACACAGCAAGGCCTGTTCCATAAAACAGGCAAACAACTGAGAGGTGAGAACTACAGGTAGAAAAGGCTTTGTACCTCCCACCTGATGATGGGATTCTCAGAACACTGGACACAATTTTAGAGTAAGAGAAAATGATCCCAGCCATAGGAAAAAAGCCAAGTATGACACCAGCAAAATATGTGACCATATTTTTGATTAACGAATCAGAACATGAGAGGGTAAGGAGCTGAGAAGGGTGGCAGAAGAAATTAGCAATTTTAACATCCTTGAAGCAAGTAAGTTGTAAGGCAAGGAAATTATGCACTTGGGAAGCAAAAAGGCTAAAAAAGACAGACATCAATATTAGTAAGAGACAGAGCCGAGGGCTCATAACGACTGCATAATGCAGGGGGTGGCAGATGGCCGCAAATCGGTCATAGGCCATCACAGTCAGGACCATGTCATCCATACACATGAAAATGATGAAGAAATTCATCTGCATCAGGCAGCCCACATAGGAGATGACCCTGCTGTGAGTTTGAATGTCCACAATCATCTTTGGGACCGTGGTGGAAATGAAACAGATGTCAGCCAAGGACAGGTTGGAGAGGAAGAAGTACATGGGTGTGTGGAGGTGGGAGTCATAGATAACAGCCAGAATGATGAGCAGGTTCCCCAGTACTGTGACCAGGTACATGGTCAGGAACAGTCCAAAGAGGATGGGCTTCAGGTCTGGATCTTCGGAGAAGTCCATGAGTTGGAATTCAGAGACATTTGTTAGATTGTATGTTTCCATGTTGTCTGAACACCCTTACAAAAAATAAAGTTCATTGGAAAAATGAAACAGGCACCCAAGACTCCATATTTTGAGTTGAAATAGTCACAAATAAACATTTGAGGGCTAAAACCTTACATTTGAGGGCTAAAACCTTTAGTAATATTTCTCAGTTGTGCTAAACACTGTCCCTTAAAGACTTTTTAATTATTTTGTTCTTGATATCCACATCCATCTATATGCTCCTACTTTATAGACCCTGTACGAGCACGGTTAGGAGACCAAGAATTTAGAGTTCAGAAGCCCCTAATCCCAGTAATGTATAGCTAACTCTTTTAAGAAAAAGAATACAAAGTTATACAATCCCTCTTAAAAATACAATACTATTGAAAAAAATTTTTAGGAACAATCTTAACCCCATTAACTCTAAATGACAGATTTACACATCATTTTTTCCTCATACATGAACTGCATTTCTCGTATGTCATCTATATGGAGGAAATTTGGCATAATTTTGTCAGTCCACACTGTTTCATTTGGAAAGAATGTACCTGAAAGAATCTGAACACACCTGAAAAGAACACACCTCATGTAATTTCCCACATCTGTAAAATAGGGATAAAATTATCTATCTTATAATGTCATTGCAAGAAAGTGTTTTGAAAGTCATTTATTTAGAATCATGGTTGGATCTAATTCAGGAATATAAGCATCTAAGGATATATTGAAATATACAGATGGCTTAGATATTAATTTAATCATAGCTTCATTTCATCAATTTAATAAAAATATCTGTATTTCAGGGTTTTTTTCACTTTCTCCAGAGTTGGAAAACAGTCCTAACATATTTTGTGGAATTTATAGACTCTTCCATGAGTATTATCTTGCTAAATATTAACATATAAATAATAATACTTATATCACAGCTAACATTTTTTAGAGATCTGAACAATTACATGTAAGTTTTAAGTTCTTGTTCTCTCTCCGTAATTTCATTATATTGTTTACCTTTCATAACCTGTTTACCTGTTGTTCTGAATTTTGTGGATAGCTTTTCCTGTCAATGTTTCTGGGACAGCATCTGTTTGTGAACTCCCAAACAGTTTCATTAAAAGTTTGGGTAAATATTACTTAAATCTCATGTGAGTGTACAACACAACACCTATTGCCCTGTAATGGATTAGGTTACATTTACAGTTGTTATTAAGTCTGCCTGTAAAGAACATGGATCTACAGCAAATGCTAAACTGATGTAAAGCATTATCCAAGAGACACAGATCTCATTTAACTTGCAAGTTTATCATTATGACATTCTTTTCAAAATTTTTGTGCCTCTATCCTTGTCACATAAGTAAAACATTGTGCATAATATATTAGTGTGAGATAATTTTCACATTTCTAACAAGTATTTTGCATAAAATTTTACTAATTCACAACTTTTCCAAAAAGTCAATCACTTACAGCCTGTTCTTAAGACATACCTACAAATATCCCTGTAGTCTGGCCAATAATGATATCTTTATGAAACACACCAATGATTTTCATAGGATACACTGTTCTGGAATAAGAGTAAGGAAGTAAACATGTTAGTCCTGTGTATCCAACTTACTACAATTGACAGAATGTCTATGAATCTCTCCACCTCTTTGTGCTCACATTACTTGCAAAAAATAAGAGTAACATTTGTCTATAAATGTGTAACATCTAAAGGAAGTGTGGAATTCAAGTATGCACTCACTCTAGATTTTGTTTTAAAAATAAAAATTACATCATCCTGTAAGTAGGAAGTTTACCAATAAATACAGTGAACTCTATTCAAATGGCGCTAGCATTGGAATTATATGAATTCTATGAAGAATCTTAGCGTGAGGCATATATCCCCCTGCTCCATTGTCTTTGTCATCTTTTAAACCCATGAATGTTTCTACTGTATCTGTGACTGATAGAGATGCAATTAAATGGATTATAGAGCTCACATGTTCTTGATATAGGCACAAACAAGGGCTATTTATCTCTTCTCTACACCTCTGGGGCATTTGTGAAAGGAATGAACATATGAACAGGAATGTAGCAAGCATCTTCACATCATGCTGATTAAGGACAAATATTGTGACTCAGGGAGGGGCCCTTCCAAAGTCTAACAGAGTATTCTACTCTTGATGCCTTCTTTTTGCCTAACAAAGTACAGGCTTTTGAGAATCATATATAAAGAGCAGCACACAACCCCTCTTCTTTGGTTCATGTGCAACGACACAAAAACAAAATAAAATGCCTTGCTACAGAAAGAGTAAAAGAATAAACTCACATCACAGGAAATAATTGGTGTGAAGGTCATTCTTATCATTACTAATACTGATAAACTTTTATTTTGCTCTGGTTTTGTACACATGAATCCCATACAGTGCACTCCTTATCTGTATAATATTCAGTGCATTTGTTGTGACTACAAACCAACCTTAATGACAATGTTGCATTTCTTAGATATTAAATACCTGCCATAGATCACAAATATATCAAGATGAGTTGAAAGGATTAAGAATTAAATTGACAGATGTTGTCCAATGTGCTAAATCTTTTCACTGTTTCCCAATCCACAGGGAAAAAATGTAAGCAGAGGCTCAGAGCTGTAGCACAGGCACATTTCTAACTAGCTGAGGTACATTTTTAATCCTTTCATCTCCTATGTGGAAGTGAAATTAAGAGAAGACAAATCTACATCTGAGATTTTGTGACCTAATTGCAAGCATTTAGCAGGATGTAGAAAGTTGCAAGAATATGCAACAGTAGCATAAGTGAAGAAACCTGAGCTGAATTGGCAACTGTATACACTTCTTGTGAAATTTTCCTGTGACTAGTGTATGTCCTTTCTATAGTGGGTACAGTGGGTGCTTCCAACTGCCCTACTCAGGAACATTAATTACTACTACTATTATTCATACACACACACACACACACACACACACACACACACACACACACACACACACACAGTTTAAAAATCCCAGTGAACAAGCAGTCTCTTCCTCCAGGGATAGGGAAGGAAAATGGATGTTTGAGTTGCCAAGGACACAAACAGCCAGGATTCTCCTGGAATGGCATAATGCCCTGTGTGTGTAATCAGAAAACTCAGTGCATTTAAATGAGCTATGGAGAATAATTTACTCAGCAGTTGGAATTTAGAAACAATTTATGATGTAGTTTGACTGACTTTGTCCTGGTTCCCCTTCCTATGACCATTGCAATCCTTTTGGAGTACATGGAAATCATTTCAATAGGATAACTTTTCTGTTATTTGGACTGAGACATAAATTCAGGGTAGAGCCAGGGTGGATAGAAAGTAAATTTTGAATGAAATATCATACTTGTATTGCAACCAGGAAGACAAACCTCACTTTCCTCATAATGATAATTTTTCATATTAGTGTCCTCCCACCTGGCTACTCAGAACTGCCTTGTTTGGGCTCATGGTGTGAAAACAATTCTTGCAAGATTTTCTTCACCATCCGTGGGCCCTCTCTGTATGTACCAATTCATGCTCCTTCTCTACTGGGTCCTGAGCAAGGACTGTAGATCTGAAGAATCTGCCAGGTCTGGTTTCCAGTGAAGGCTCAGGTTCTGTCCCTAGGATTGGTATGAATATGGCATCAGATGAGATCTTCCTCATGGACCCAACCAGGGAGGAGGAGACGCAAGTTTGTAAACAACAGTACTGAAACCACCAAATAAAAAGCTGAAGGCACAATCAAATTACTGACTATCATATGACCTTAGAGACTCAATGCCCAGAGCTGGTAATTAGTCAAATTGGTCAATGTCATCCCACGCTCTATGGACTTCCTAATTATGATTACAATAAGTAATGTCACCACAATGTGTTCTTAGAATGGTTATAATGGCAGGTTCTTTGTTATGCATATTGTCTTTTAATAATAATGCAAATATAAAGCAGTCTTTCTGAAATAATTGTTATGTGCATGTACCAACTCTCCAAGATGAATGCAATCATTAGGTACTGCAGACATGTCCTAATAAAAATATAGTGTTTTAAAAAGTAAAAAATCATAAGGAAAGAAAGATGAATTTATAGAAATAATAGGGGCAGAAAAGCAGGATTTACAGGTGTAGATATTGTTTTATTTCTTTTTCCAAAGCACATTCTGAATGGATACTTGAAATTACCTTCTGCTGTGCAGCCTCCTGAAAGCACAGATAATGTCTTTATATCTCAGACTACAGATAAAGGGATTCAGTGTACAGGTGACCAGGGTGCATCCCCGAGGCTAGCACATCATTTTGGAAAGATGTGATATATGTGAGCAAAGACACATGTCAAATATTGTTTGACAAATAAATAGACAACTGGCAGATGACAATCATAGGTGCAGAAGACTTTACATTTCCCACCAGATAATGGGATGTTCAGAATGCATGAAGCGATTTTACAGTAAGGGAAATGGCTGAAGTGATTTTATACTTGATTTGGCAAAAAGGAGAAATATGGTGCCAGGAATACAATTCACTATGTTATTAGTGTAGCTGTGAAAGGGGGAAAGATTAAATTGAGCAGGATGGCAGAACAAATTGGAGTTTCTCCATCAGCAAAACAAGCAAACTGTAAGGTAATGTGGAGAATGTGTAAATGTCTCTGTCTCTTCCTGCTCATGATCTGTATAGCACTGGGGATAATAACCTCATGTTTAGGACATGTGTACCATCTTATAAGAGTTTGAAACTTTGTAATAAGGTGGTCACTTTTAATTATGATTTCTAGGATGCAGTGGGATGTTTTACTCTGAAAATGACTTCTTCCACATGTCCGGCTAGCATTGCAGAAGAAATCCACCATAGCTCCTGCCATCTTTGGAAGTAGTGTAATAACCGGGAGCTATTTTGAGAAAGGGTTTATTGCATAGGACTGAGCTATTCTGGGAATCAGAAGTCACGGAACAACCATATATCAGGGGTTCTGAGGTGGCCCTGCTGCAGTGTGAGGGTGAGCATTTGCCACCAGAGTCAGCTGTGGAAGGAGAACTCACCACAGACCCTCTGAGAAATTTAAGCAGTGG